GAGGGAGGCAGGCAAGGTGGGGGGGGGTTGTGCTGGAACAGTGTGCGTTTAAAGCCCAGTTAGGAGTGATTTTGTAAATCACTTAATCACTTAACTTCCTGTTAGTCGTAGATTTGCTCGAGCGGGCGCCAGTAACGTCTCCATTTGTCCCTGTCGCGTGCTAGTGTAGCCCAATGGCATCTGTTCGCTCCGGGAACATGAAGGGCCTCAAACCGATCGTTCATGATCTTGACGAAGAAATCTGACCATCTGGTAGGTGGGTGGCCACGCGGTCTTTTGACATCCCGTGGAATCCAGTCGGTAACAGCTCTAGTCCAGCGGTCGTCTTTAAATCTCATTACGTGACCAGCCCATCTGATTTTCGACACCTTGGCAAATGAGACAGCGTCCCTGATTCTTGATCGTCGACGGATGTCAGAACTCCGGATTCTTTCTCTCATTTTAGTGAAACGTGATATTCCAAGCATAACTCTTTCTATTCTTCTTTGGGAGACCTGAATAGCGTTCTCATCTTGTTTGCGTAGGGCCCAGGTCTCTGAGGCATATGTTAATGCAGGAAAAACAGTGGAATCAAAGAGATGTGCCCGGAGCCGGAGGTTCTTCGTCCTCTTAGCTATTTCTTCGACGTTCTTGAAGGCGTTCCAAGCCACTCTCTTCCTCCTGCGCAGCTCGGGTGCCAGGTCATTTGTCATGTTGACCTCTCGACCTAGGTACACATACCTGTTGCATTCGGAGATGGTCGTTCCATTGAGAGCGAATGGGGCGTCAGGAACGAGGCTGTTTCTCATAACCATTGTCTTCGTAAGATTCAGCTGTAGTCCTACCTTTCCACACTCACGGTCAAAGTCGGCCAGCATTTGTGCCGCTTGGCTGATGTTTGGTGTTATGAAAACAATGTCATCAGCAAAGCGGAGGTGGTGTAGTTGCCGACCATCTATCTTCACTCCCGTTCCTTCCCATTCCAGTTGTCGCATGATGTTCTCGAGGGTGGCACTGAAGAGTTTCGGTGAAATGGTATCACCCTGCCGCACCCCTCTCTTGACATCAACGATCACTTCTTTGTACAATGGTGAGATCCTGGTAGTGAATCCGCAATACAGCTCACGGAGGATCCTGATGTATTGGGCTTGAATGCCCTGATTGGCTAGGGCTTCAATGACCGCTTCCGTCTCAACAGAATCAAAGGCCTTCTTTAAATCAATGAACGTTAAACAGAGCAGCATCTTGAACTCCCGAGAAACCTCAATGAGCTTGGTTATCGTGTGGATATGGTCGATGGTGCTGAATCCTTTGCGGAACCCGGCTTACTCGCATGGTTGTCCTTCATCTAGTGTTCTGCCAATCCTATTTAGGATGACTCGAGTGAACAACTTGTAGATGACAGACAATAGGCAGATCGGGCGATAGTTGCCAATGTCATGGATGTCTCCCTTCTTGAACAGTAGTACGGTCCTGCTGGTTTTCCACTGGGACGGAACCTTGCATTCAGACAGGTAGCGAGTGAAGAGCCGAGCCAGTGTATTGATGAGTACTGACGGCAGGTTCTTTAGGTGTTCAGGTCTGACCTTGTCTGGGCCGGGTGCTGTTTGTTTCTTTACCGATGAAATGGCGTGTCGGATTTCGGAAGGGAGAACGTTGGGAACGACATATCCATCCTGTGGAATTTGGTATGTCGGCAAGTGGACATGGCTATCAAAGAGATTTGATTAGAAGTCATGGATAATCTTCTCCATTGCTGTTCTGGAGGATGTGATGGATCCATCAGGACGTCAGAGGGCAGTCATCTTGGTCTTGTAGTTGGCGAAGGACAGGCGGGCGTTACGAATACTTTTCCCGGCTTCTGCCGCATCTACCAGTACTTCTGCTCTTCTCTCTTTGAGGTCTTCGTTGATCGCATCTCTGCACTGCTTTGCGAGCTCGGACGTTAGCTTGCGGTTGCCTGAGGCATGCGCCAAACCACGCTGGCGAATTAGCTCAAGAGTTTTCGAAGACAGGCGATTTTTTGTGGCTATCTCTCTCTTGGCATTCCTCGCACATTCATGGAGGTGCTGAACCAGTCGATCGTATTCCTTGTCAATGTTGTCAACAATGGCATCTTCCCATGTTGCCGCAATAGTACCAAAGAGTTCCCAGTTGGTGGTCATTCTGGGAGTTCTCTTTTTGAACTTTGCAGCCCTTTCTCCCCACTCTGTGAAGTAGAATTTTGCACGAAGGAGACGGTGGTCCGGTCCCGTTCGAAATTTTGGGACAACAGCGACATCGGTCAGGCAAAACCGTTGATTGAATATGATGTGGTCTATTTCGTTGTGGAATCGTCCACTGGGAGACTCCCATGTCCATCGTTTAGATTCTGCCTTCTGGAACTGTGAGTTACCATGAATGGTCTTGGTCGACATGATGAACTCAGACAGTCTCTCACCCTTTTCGTTCCATTCTAGGCCATGGGTCCCGATGTGAAGTTCTTCAGCTGATCTTCTCGGTCCTATCTTGGCATTAAAATCACCCACAATGATCTTGTAGAAGGTGTGGTCTTCTTTATAGAACTTCTCTAGCTCCATGTAGAACTTCTCGATTTCTCTTTCATCATAATGAGATGTTGGTGCGTAGACAACGAAGATAGAAACTGCAGGCAGTGAGCCACATCTATTCAAATGTAAACATCCGATTCAGGTTGTTAGGCATTCGAATGAATCAATGCTCTTGGCCAAGTTTGTGTTGACACGGACACCGACGCCTCCAACACCTCTTTTATCGCATGTTCCGAGGAACAATTCTTCTCCAGTGTCGAAAACAGCATGATGAGATTCATGCCTTCTTGTCTCGGTCAGACCAATGATGTCGTACTTGATCATTCGCGCTTGTACCATCAGGTCCTCGATGGATGCATCTGATGCTAGCATACGTGCATTGAAAGTACAGATGATCATTTTTGTCTTCCTTCGTTGTGGCAGCCTAGGTCGGCCTTGAGATTTTGTCAGCCTCTCCTTTCTCATCCTTCTCAGTGCTGCCATGTCGGTGAAGCCTTCAGGGTCAGGTGAATGAGACCAGTTGTAATTACTGGTTTTGGCATATCGAATACACAACGGATAGCTTGCCAGGCTCTTCGGTGCGGGCGGAATACTCTCGGTAGCTTGCCAGTCTTTCCGAGAGGGATAGAGGTTTTTGGGGCGACCTCTAATCACCCTTGTAGGTGTTACCATATTTGAACCCTATTAAATACGGTACGACAATTCCAGAAGATGGGTATTTAGTGTCTTATGATGTGTCGCGCGGCCACTTGCGGCCGCGCAGGTCCGGAAAGCATCCTGAAGTGTGGCGACGGCTGAGTAGTGGAAGTAGTGTCGATAGTGGAAGTCTGCCAGTGGGGTATTTATCTGGGTAGGGTGGGTCTCCTGTGCGCAATTCGATCCCTGGGTGGTTGTAAATCATGGGGCTTTAATTAGATTGTTTTTAAAAACAAACAAAAAATCCAACATAAATGAATGAGGGAAAGAGAGAGGAGGGGGAGAGAGAAAAGGAGAAAGAGGGAGAGAAGAAATTCACCACCTGATTTCTTAACAGGGACAGTTAAATATTCAGCCCTCTGTGTTCTGCCAAGTGCCCCCATAGATCATATCCCTGTGAGAGGCCCCCAGAGCCACTCACCCAGGCACTGGAGCACCTTGAGACTGAGGCTCATGGCTGCCTCTAGATGTCTGCTCTGGGCTCCCCTGGGCACGGGCACATGACTTTGTGACAGGAAGTGTGCAGGATGAGTCCAGGGAGTGAGGGTGGCCTGGCCCTCCCCTGCGCCCCTCCTTACGTACTTGGGGCAGGGCTTCTGGGTAGTTCAAGTGAGGTATTTGATACCTGGCCTGAGCCCATGTCTGAAGGAAACCTACGGATTTTCTCTTTCCCAGAGATGCTCTGGCTGATGCCGTCTGACAGTAGGTGAGAAACGCTTCCCGCCTCACCCTACCCCAGCCTCAGGAGAACGCAAGGCCAGTGGGCAGGAGAGAAATCCCATTTGTCCAAATGACCCTGGCAGGGCATTCATGGAGTCCAGCCTGTTGTGAACGGCCATACCGTCAATTGGTCTGAGACGGCAGCTGGGCTCTTGACTCCTTTCCCTGGGCAGAGGCCGGGCCTGGCCTGGGCCATTGCCTCTCCTCCATCTGTCCCTCTACCAGAAAAGTCATGGTGTGGTGCCCACCCAAAAGCCCTCCGAAGACCAGGACGCCCTCTGCCTCCACACCCTCACTCCAACCAGGAGGGAGAGAGGCCAGTGCACACTGAGGCCAGGGTCCCCCCCAGAGGACACGCCAGCCCAGGGCCTGAGGAACAGGGAAATAGACATAACGCGCTGGCTCTCTTGAGGGTCATCTGCAGCCTTCAGGAGGGCTTGTTCCTTAGGGTCATTCCAGGGAGGACAGACAGACAGACAAAATAAAATAGAGAAATTGAGAGCGTGGTACCAAAGAAAAGAAGAAAAACCCAGCAACCTGGGACGTGCCTCGGGAGGAAACAGACCCTGAGTTCAGCTGCAGAACAAGCTGCACACAGTGTATCCTGGCTCCACGCTGGGCCCACCTGGCCAGGAAACTCCCACCACCAGCACCCCCTGCACAGCCACTCAGGGCTGCTAGCCTGGCCTGTGAAGTGCCATGGGGACCTGGCACTTTAAGGCAAAGTGGGAACGGGACCCTTGGGGTCTAGGAAAAGTGGGGAGTTGACCCTTGCCATCCTGCCTACATGTCTTCAGAGTCATCCACAATGGGTTGCTCAACATCTCACCGGAGACAGAGGAGCTACTGTGAGCCAGGGCAGGTGCCCAGTGCCAGGCCAAAGGCAGCAGCAGCGAGAGGGTGAGAGTTGGTCCCGCAGGGTTTAGAGGACACACAGCATCTGTTGTGAGAGGGCTGGAGTAGGGTGGGGATGAGAACCTTCAGTGCTTCCTGGCTGCGCTTTGTCCCAGGTGCAAGTTTGACCTCTCCAGCAACCTTCCCCTTTCAAGCACGAGCTCACCAGTACCCCCTTCGGTTCACTGTGCGTCCTGTATGGGACACACACAGGTGCACGGGTTCACAGGTGTGCACTTGTGAGCATGCAGGTATTTTAGGGTGCACGTGGGGAGTGTCCACATGTGTACCCTGGAGGGTGTGTGGGGTGTGGAAGCGTGTGTATGTGTGAATGTGTCTGCCTTCATAGGGGTGTGAGGGATGTCTGAACCCCCTGGGCAGGTGAGGTGAGCGCTCGCCTCCTTATACAGCCAACACCCCCGATCATCTCCCTTCTACACCTCGAAACCATCCCATTGGTCTCATCTGATTATTTGTTATGCAGGGGGAGCTATGGCAGGCCTAGTTTTTGGCCCCCTCGTGGGGGACTGTGACATTTATTAATGCACTCAGGGTGATCCGGGGCTTGAGCTCTTGGCAGCATCAGTGCCAGCGAAGCTCCAGGTCAACACTGGACTCCAGGGAGACCAGCAGAGGCCACTAGGCAGACGGCACAGCTGGGGACTTCACTGGGCCATCAGTGGGCAGCCCCAGCTGGCTTGGTCTTCGCATCCCAGTGACTTCAGTTGGTGTCTGGAAGCAGGCGCTGCCCATTTTCCCTGACACTGAGTGTCCAGGGTCACCGGCCGGCCAGTCTCCAAGGGCTTAGCTTGCCCTGACCCTGCCTACAGTAGCTTTGGATGCCGTTCTGAAAGGGCGCCCCTGGTGGACACTCGAGATTCTGCATGCGCCCTAGGAAGGATGCAGCTGCTCAAGGTGTGGCCAGGGTGGCATAGGTGCAGTCGTTGACTGTGGGGTCTGCAGTCCGCGAGGGGCAGTACCCGGGGGTCTCTGAGTGAGGATGCAGTGGTCCAGCTGGGTATAGGTCACCTCCTGGGGGCCTCCTGCTGCAGTGGTCTAAGGAGAGGGGGAGGGTGTCAGTATGGAGCTGGGAGGGAGGGAACCAGCACCACCCCCGCAGCCAGGAACCCCCTAGAGTTCCCACCAGCTGGTCAGGGCTGGTGAGAATGGAGCAGTCCCCTCCATGGTCAGGACACAAGACAAGCTGTCTCTAGGACCTCCCTCTGGACAGACCACGGGAATGTCTTGGGTGTAGGGCAGAGACCAATGTGGACACTGCCAAGTTCATGATAATGTCCATTTGGCACCTTCCCAGGAGACCCTGAGCCAGAGACACCCGCAAATCCATTATTCAGTCCCTTACATGGAGAGGGTACATGGGGCTTACCGGCGAGGCCCTGTTCCTGCCCAGCATCAGGGCACCATCCACTGTGACCAGATCTGGAGGAGATAGGGTGGCAGGCAGCTCCCAGGCAGGGGTGAGAGCAAACCAGGGGCACAGCACTTCAGCTCGGGGTGCATCAGTTTCTCTTGCTCTCTTCTGTAGTCATCTTTCGCACCCTCACACTTCTCATATCTTCTCAGTGGAGGAAGAACTAGGAGGAGGAAGTGGAGGAGGAGGAGAAGGAGGAGGAGGAGTAGGAGAAGGAGGAAGAGGAGGTGAATGAGAAGGGGAAGAAGGAGAAGAAGAAGGAGGAGGAGGAGGAGAAGGAGAAGGGGGAGGGGGAGGGGAAGAGGAAGAGGAAGGAGAAGGAGAAGAAGAAGACTAAGACGAAGAAGAAGACAAAGACTAAGGAGGAGGAGGAGGAGGAGGAGGAGAAGAAGAAGAAGAAGAAGAAGAAGAAGAAGAAGAAGAAGAAGAAGAAGAAGAAGAAGAAGAAGAAAGGAAGAAGAGGGATAAGAAGAAAAAGAAGAAAGGAAAAAGAGGAAGAAGAGGAAGAAGAAGAGGAGGAGGAGGAGGAAGGAGAATGACAGAAACATTTTCTGCCAGTGCTGACTGCTCTCTTGACACGGCCTGTCCCCCCACACTCCATCCCTTTACCTGGTGTTTTCTCTGGGAGGCCGCCAGTCAGGATGGAACTAGAGGGAGAAATGTGTGAGTGTGGGGTCGCCAGGAGCAGGGGTCTGGACAGGGCTCCATCCCGGGGCCTCACCTCTCCTGCCGTCTCCCCTCCTCGCCTTTGCCTCTGGGGATCTCTGGGGATGATCAGGGGTGTGGATTAGGGAGACAGCCTCTCCCAGCAATCCCAGGCCTGCCCGACCTCGCCACCCTCTCCCAGAGCCACCCACCACGCTTCTTGCGTTGGTGCAACAGGCGGAGAAGCAGTAGGATGAGCAGGAGGAAGGCAAGGGTGGCCCTGCGAACGATGTATACGAGGTTCATGGACGGGCGTGGGAGGGGAGAGGCGCGAGATCACGTGGTCTGTTACGATGCCACTTAGATTCACTATATCTCGGACACGCTCAGTGATGGGATTGGGGAGACAGCCGGCTCTCATTTCATTGCGCCTGGATTTCTGCGCACGCATGCGCAGCTCCACCTCTATCCTTAGTTTTGGTTTTATTTTTGTTTGGGGGGCCATTCCCAGTGATGCTCAGGGATTACTTCTGGGTCTGTGCTCAGGGATCACTCCTGGTGGCCTGGGGGGACCATATGGGATGCCGGGGATTGCCCGGCTTAGGGGAGTGCAAGGCAAGTGCCCTGCCTGATGCTCATGGCCCCAGCGCACACACTCCACTGTCCTGTGTCCTCATTCACCTTCCTGCGCAGGGGAGGGCAGCCCTGCTCAGGTGCAGCAGGTCAGGGGTGCAAGTGACAGGGCGCCTGCCAGGTCCAGGACACCCCTAAGGTGCAGTGGCTGGACATCTTTCCCACCAGCCCACAGGAAGACCCTCCAAGGGAGGGTGGAGAACTTGGCAGAATCTGGATCTGCGGGGGAACCCGACTTTGGTTCGTAGCAGGAACGTGAAGGCAGCGGTGGGGACAGCAGGGTCCCTGACTCAGCCCAGTAGGAGGGTCAGGACCAGAGGGAGGGTGACCTGGAGCACTGCAGCTCCGTGGTAGACCTGAGCTGGTCTAGGTCTCTCTGCTCCTCCCAGGGTCACAACTGCAGGGGCAGGTGCGGACCGCCAGGGGTCGCTGCTGTCCAATATGGGGCGCTACTATCCACGAGCAGGCGCTGCGTCCACCAGGGGGAGATGCTGAGCTGCTGCAAACCCTCCACTGTCTCTGAGGAGAAAAACTGGTTGGAAAACTGATAAAGAGTTTGGAGTCTGGGGTTCAGCCGGCTCTGGCTCTTACATCTTGAGCTTTGAGAGCTGAGGTCTGGGTCCAGTTGCTGGGAATGGGTTTGCAGCCTATGGCGGGAGGAGCCCTGACCTGTCCACAGCACCAGCTTGGACCCGGGCCACCACGCAGGGCAGGGCAATCCCCAGGCCTGCCTGTGGCCTCTGAGCTTCCCAGCCCCTCACCCACCTCCCTGCAGTTCGGGCTGTCACCCCGAGGAGTGTTATTGGGTGAGGGAAGCTGAGGTGCTCCTGTGGACAAGACAGAGGGACACTGGGCCAGAGAGAGGCTGCCCGGGATAGGATGGGTCAGGGTCACTCCTGCACCCCCATTTCCTTACAAATTGGACTCTGGGAGCTTGGAGTTCCCCTCTGAGGCCCAGGGAAGGTGGGGTGGAGGAGTGTTCCTTGATCGCACATGCAGGAGTCAACTTGCTCAATGTCCCATCACCACTCATCTGTGCTGTCAGGGTCCTGGGTCACAGACTCTCCACTGGGTCCACTGCTTGGGCCTTGCAACAAAGAGAGGGTGGGTCAGCAGGAGTCTGGGGAAGTTGGGGGCTCTACTGAAGGACATGTGTCCCCTCACAGTCACCACAGCCTGCTCCCGCCCCAATTCGCAGGCCATCCCGGGTTCTCTTACAGAGGGTTGAGTTTCCAGGACAGACAAGGTTCCCTGCATGGGGCTGAGCGTTCAGGCCATCTCGTGCTATCTGGACCATGGGACCCAGTGCTCCCAAGTGACAGAGGGTCAGGGCAGTGGACACGGCTGCTTGGGCAGGGTGGGGGTCCTAGGGCAAACCTGGCATTTGATCAGAGACGTCCTCAGTTCTCACCACCAGCTCCAGGGGGTCACTACGCTCAGACCAGCGGACCCCTCTATGGTAGAGGCAGCGGTAAAAGCCCACGGAGTTTCTATTCACTGCCAAGATGAGGAACCAGGCTTCTGTCTTGCCTGGATCACACCTGGACACGTTGTCTTCAGAGTTACAGCTCACACATGACGAATTCACAGTAACATCCCTCACATTTCTGAGTCATGTGTCTCTCACATGTCAGATCCGTGTAGTTCCATTGCTCATTTGTTGAATCTGTGCAGCTGTACATGTTGTACTGCTTCCCTAGCCGGAAAGTGTTGGTACCAGCAGGACCTCTGCACACCAAGGTCACAGGCTGGCCCCAGGGTATGTCAGGGTCCAGCTGGGCTGAGATGGAGGGCGGAGAGAGGAACTCTAGTGAGGATGAGAACAGGTCTTAGGGGGTTGATGGGGACGAACCCCACAGATCAGCCCCCTGATGCTCAATTCAGCATGTGAATGTGTCAGTGTGTGAGTGTGAGGAGGTGTGTGAGTGTGTGAATGTGAGTATATGGGTATGGATATGTGAGTGTGTACATATTGTGTGAGTGTGAGTATACGTGTGTTTGCATGAGTGTGAATATATGTGTTGAGTGTGAGTATATGTGTTAATGTGTGTATGTGTGTGAGTGAGTATATGTGTGTGCACGAGTGTGAATAGATGTGTCAGTATATGTGCGAGTGAGTGCATGTTTGAGTATATGTGTTTGTGTGTGTGAATATATGTGTGTAAATGTGTGTGAGTGTGTGAGTACATTAGTTTGAGTGTGAGCATGTGTGTGAGTACATGTGTGTGACTGAGTATATGTGTGTTTGAGAGTACGTGTGTGAGTGGGTGTATGAGTTTATGTGAGTGTATGTGTGAACCTACAGAGCAGGGCACTACTCCCCCAATTCATTCTAGAACCTTACCCACACCCCTGCCCAGACGCCTGGCTATTCTGGGCAGTGACTTTCTTGTCTCTGGTTGCGTCTTGGGCTTTGCTCTGGAACATTGGTGGGAACCCGGACAGCTGTGGTCTGAGCACCCCTCTCCCACAAAACCCCACCGTCTGGGCAACCCTCTCCCACAGACAACCTCCCTCTCCTCAGTGGACCCCGATTGTCTCCACCAGACCAGCGGTGGGCAAGTGCCCCGCCTGGAGGCAGCGCCTAGGGCTTGGCTTGCTTCCACCCAGCACCCCTCATCCTTCCAGCCCTCGGCTTTCTGTCCATCCCTGAATCCTCAGACCTTGGGGCTGAGGCCCTGCCCTTGGGCTGGCAGTCTGAACTAGGCCAGAGTTTAATGGGCTGAGTTGCGGTGGGATGGGGTGGAGTGGGACGGGGATTTGGAGGTGTAGAGGAGGCGAGAGGAAGCTGGGGCAGCTTGAGCACAGAGCAGGAATGGGGGCAGGGTGAGGAGCCCAGGGCCAGAGGGGCCAGGGGCAGTTATCTCTGCCAGGACACAAAGGCCTCAACAAGCTCTAGAGAGTGCTTAAGGCCGAGCTCTCGCCGGCAGAGTCTGGGCCCTGCCTCCCCTGCCGCGCCCAACACACACACACACACACACACACACACACACACACACACACGTAGCACATTGCCCCACTAGTGTCCTGCAGGGCATCATGGGGAGGGTGAATGTACTGGCTGATGACTGTCTGCTGCGCAGGGATTGCACTGGGAGGTCAGAGGCCTCTTAGCAGCAGAATTAAGGAAGGTGCAGAGCTGGAGAGGGATGTGTTTGCGGGTGCTGCCAGGCAGCCTTTCCTAGCCTGGCTCCCTTGCCCAGAGGCAGGTTTGGGGACTGTGGGGACTCACCTGCCTGCTCCCGAGAGGGGCCCAGCTGGCCGAGGCACAGGGCTGAAACAGACCCTCCATGAGTACCAGGCAGTCCTGTACCTCTCAACTCCCCCACCCTGATGGACTTCACTCCCCAGACCCCAGAGCCTTTGGGTCAAACTCAAGAGCCACAGCGAGGGGGCCCCTCTGGCCCCCCCAGTCCTCAGCTCCCTCCAGGACTCACCCAGGCTCAGAAGGACTCCGGGCAGGGGGGCCATGGTCCTCCCTACGGTCATGCGGGTTGCAGCGACGACTGAGGCAGGTACAGGCTATGTGGGACCCCACACAGCCACTCCCCACAAAGGGGAACAGACCAACCCCACCTCACTGAAGGTACTTCCTGCCGGTCCCACAGACCTCCTGCCCTGTCCTGGCCCACAGGGTGACTCTCTTGTCCCCTTGCGCCTCCTCATAGCAGCCACTAGTTTTGGGTGAGGCCTGCGGTGCTGACATGGGGCCTCCTCAGAGAGCGGCCGCAGCAAGGAGGGGGGCGTCCGCTGGGCTGCACACTCATTTGTTGTTTTGTTTCTGATTCTGGGCCGCACCTGGCTGTGTTCAGGGCTTACTCTGGGCTCTGCACTCGGGGATCTCTCTGGCGGTCTTGGAGTGCGTTGCGGGGGTGCCTTGGTGGTGCTGTGGGTTGAACCCGGGTTGGGTGTGTGGAAGGCAAAGGCCCTCCCTACTGTGTTTGTGCCTTGCTCCTCTGGGGGGGCTGGAACACTCCTGACTCTGTGCTCAGGGCTCACTCCTGGCAGGCTCGGAGACCGAATGCAGTGCCAGGGTGAGGACTGGGGCAGGCCGCTTGCCTCCCCCTGCTGAAGAGACACCAAAGCATTCAGGCACTTCTGAGGCTGCTGGGACGGCAGGGCCCAAATCCCAGAGCCACTGGTTTCACAGGTCTGCCTTCTGGGGTCCCTCGCTCTCCCTCCTCTCTCCCACCGTGCCCCCTCGCCCCTTCCTTTCAGCTCTCGTGCAGGCCTGTGGGCTGAGTGTGAAGATGCTCTGAGCAGCAGAATGGCACGGAGCCATGACCACTCAGGATGTGGGGAGCTAGTTGCAACCCTGCAAGGAGCTGACGCTTAAAACAGGGGCTTCTTTCCACTCTCGCCTCTGTGCTTCCCCAGGCTGAGCTGAGGAAATAATATAGCTTTTCAAAAGGATTTCTTTGGTGGGGGGTAGGGAGGTGCTATTATTTTATTTTCATTTGTTGTGCAGGGGACCATGTGACACTGGGAACCTACTGTGGGTTCCCACATGCAAAGCTTGAACTCCCCAGACCCCGGGAGGCTCTGTCAGAAACCCAAGGCTGCCCAGTCCCTGCCAGCCCCTAATCCAGGCCAGACCCGAGTGCCTTCTACCCAGAGTGGTGCTGGCTGTTTGCCCAAAACCTAAACTCATGTCCACATGTTTTTTGGGGGAAAGGGGGAAATGAGCTTTTTGTTGACTCCGAGGTATCATTATTACTTGTAATCTTCCTTTATTACCTAGATATCTAATATCTATATATATCTATATATCAACATAATATATATAATATATATATATATGTATATATTGCTTTCTGGGTCACATCAGCGGTGCTCAGTGGTTACTCCTGCCTCTGCACTCAGAAATCACTCTTGACATTGTTCAGGGGACCAGATGGGTGCTGGGGATTGAACTCGGGTGGGTGGTGTGCCAGGCAAGTGCCCCACCCACAGTACTATCATTTCAGCCCCAATTTTTTGAATTTTGCAATGAAAGACATTTTTTGAGGGTCAGAGAAAAAGTAAGAGATTAAGACATCTGATCTCCATGTGGCCATTGGGGTTTCATCACCAGCACTCATTTGGTCCCCAAGCGTTGCTAGGAGTGATCCCTGAGCAGAACTGGGAGTCAGCTCTGAGCACCATTGGGTGTGGCCCAAAACAACAAACTAACAAGCTTTGAAACAAACTCAAACGATCACCTTGACTAGAATTTTTATTCAGTCCCTCTTTCCAAAGCCCTCATGATCAACTATCAGAAACTCAGTTCAAGTACCCTGAAATGCCATAGAACAGAACAATGCATAGTATTACTATGTCTGAGTATTTTTTTGGCGGGAGAGGGGCACACCTGTGAGTCCTCAGGGCTTACTCCTGGCTCTGTGCTCAGAGGTGATTTCTGGTGGTACTCAGCTGACTCATAGGGGTTCTGGGGATCACATGCCCTCCCCGCTGTGAAGTCCCCAGCGGGGACCTATGGCCCAGTACAGGAGGGCAACTAGTTCCTCCCTTTTAAATGTGCTTCCCCCCTTCATGATCACAGGCAACCAGAGCACATGCAGCCTCTGGCACTAAGCCTGGCCCTGCCCTCCCCCAACCACTGACTTGGGGCTTACTCAGTGCTATGGTCCCAGGGGTCTGCAGCCATGTCCGGGCTGGGTAGGGGTTAGGCAATTGCCTTGCACACAGCTGACACATGGGGACTCCTGAGTATCACCAGGTGTCGACTACCCCCAAAAATATATGTCTGCACCATTATCATGCAGAGCTCGTCCTGCCTGCCTCTCCACTGCACCTCTCCACCCTGCACCCCTGCACCATGAGCCGCATTGCCACCCCATGCTTCCCCCTTTCAGAACACTTGAGTGTCTGGTCACAGCCCTTCTGGTCAGAGCCCTCCGTTGTCCCCAGAGTTCTCTCCTCTCGCTGACTGCGGAGTCCACATCACCCCCCTTCACCCTCCCAAAGACCATTTGGCTCAACCAGGATTCGGCTGTGACTTAGGCTGCTGTATTGATGCTCGGGTGTGTGTATGTCTGGTTGTATGTGTATGTGTCTGCATGTGTGGACTTGTACATGTGTGTATGTGGGTATGTATTGTATACACATGTGCGTATATGTGTGCATGTGTATATGTGTATTCATGTGTGTATGTGTGCATGTGTGTACATGTGCATTTGTGCATGTACATGTGTTTGTATGTGTGTTTGTGTGAGCATATGTGTGTGTGTGAGTTATCGGTGACTCTAGCTCAGTACTAAGGAGTTTGATTGTTGGAATCATAAGGGATGTTCCGATTTGCTGAGAGACAGAGGGACTGATAGACTGTGGGACTGAGAGATGGAGGGGCTAAGAAACGGAAACTCTAGGAGAGAGAGGGGCTGAGAGATGGGGGCTGAGAGACAGACTGACTGAGAGAGGGAGGTGATGAGAAAGTGTTAGGCTGAGAGACTGAGGGACTGAAAGATGCGTGGAGGGGGACCGAGGGGCTCAGGGACTGGACCTGAGATACGGAGGGGCTGAGAGCCACGGGGGTCTGAGAGACCAGTCTGAGAGACAGGGGAGTAGGGAACAGAGGCTAAGAGATGGAAGGGTTGAGAGACAGAGGGGCTGAGAGACTTTGGGCTGAGAGATGGAGGGACTGAGAGACAGAGGCTTATAGCCGAGTGCTGAGTCAGAGGGGCTGAGTGACGGGGGTGCAGAGACATAGTGGGGCTGAGAGGCAGAGGGGCTGAGACTGGGGGGCTGAGTAACAGAGACACTGAGTGGCCGGTGGCTGTGTGACGGAGGGGCTGAGAGGTGGAGTGACTGAGGTGGAGTGACTGAATGACTGTGGTGCGAACGACCAAGAGGCTGAGATTCAAAGGGTTTAGAGCCAGTGGTGCTGAGGAATGGAGGCTGGTAGGTGGAGGGTCTGGAGGACTCTGTAGCTGAGAGACAGTGTGTGATTTGCTGGTGAGCACATGCTCATTCAGACCATGTTCTGGTGAAAATAACAGGATTCAGTAATGGCATAAGTGGGGGGTGAGATAGGGGTCCCTTGGGGTCTCTGTGGTCACGACTCTCCAGTCCCCAGCTGGCTATGATGGAGGTTCAGGTGGCACCTTCAGACCCAGGTATGGCAGCTGAGCTAGACCTGCAGCATGTGACTGTCCTGTGACACTCGAGTGTCCAGAGCTATCAGAGGCTGAGGGGACGTGCGGCGACAATCCCCCAGACCCCCAGAATGAGGGAAGGAAGTGTCAGGAGTGACTCACCTTTCTGAGCAAGCATCTGCTGTCCAGCCAGAGTCCTGGCAGAGGAAACCCAGTGTCCTCTGTCCTCACAAGTGATTTTTATTCCGAAGCTGGACTCTCAGCTCCTTTACCCGGGCAGAGGCCGGGCCTGGCCTGGGCCATTGCCTCTCTTCCATCTGCCCCTCTCCCAGGAAAGTCATGGTGTGGAACCCGCCCTATAGCCCTCTGAAGACCAGGACGCCCCCTGCCTTCACAGCCTCAGTCCAGGTGGGAGGGAGAGAGGCCGGCACACTAGGGCCCAGGGTCCCCCCAGAGGACACGCCAGCCCAGGGCCTGAGGAACAGGGAAGTGGACATAACAGGCTGGCTCTCTTGAGGGTCATCTGCAGCCGTCAGGAGGGCTTGTTCCTAAGGGTCATCCCAGGGAGGACAGACAGAGGGACAAGATAAAATAGAGAAATTGAGAGCGTGGTACCAAAGAAAAGAAGAAAAAACCAGCGACCTGGGACATACCTCGGGAGGAAACAGACCCGAGCTCAGCTACAGAATAAGCTGCACACAGTGTACCCTGGCTCTGCGCTGGGCCCACCTGGCTCAGAAGACCCTCACCACCTGGCACCCCCTGCACAGCTGCCCAGGGCTGCTGCCTGGTCTACGAACCATGGGGTCCTGGCACTTTAAGGCAAAGTGGGGACGGGATCCTTGGAGCCTTGGAAAAGTGGGGACTTGCCATCCTGGCTGCATGTTTTCAGACTCAGTCACAACGGGTCACTCAACCTCTTGCCTGCAACAGAGGAGCCACTGTGAGCCAGGGCAGGTGCCCAATGACAGGCCAAAGGTGGCAGCAATTCGAGGGTGAGAGTCGGGCCTGCAGGGTTTGGAGGATACACAGTGTCTGGTGTGAGAGGGCTGGAGTAGGGTAGGGATGAGAACCTTCAGCACTTCCTGGCTGCGCTCTGTCACAGGTGTAAGCTTGACCTCTCCAGCACCCTTCCCCTTGCAAGCGTGAGCTCACCAGAACCCCCTCCAGTCACTGTGCCTCCCATATGGGGCACACACAGGTGCATGGGTTCAACGGGTGTGCACTCGTGAGCAGGTATGTATATGGGGTGCACTTGGGGGTTGTCCGCATTTCTACCCAGGAGGGTGTGTGGGACGTGGAAGCTTGCACATTTATGCATGTGTCTACCTTCACAAGGGTGTGAGGGGTGTCTGAACCCCCTGGGTGGGTGAGGAG